AATGTTCCTTGCAACAATCACAACTTTATTATACATTTTTTCTTTTAGGTTTTTTTTTTTTTAATTTAAAGTTACAATATGTAAAATTAACAATACGGGTACTCACTAAATTTCTTAAATGAGGGGTACAATCTAGAGATATGATATGTCACGGGGTACACTAATGAAAAAAGGTTGGGAACCACTGTACTTTACTATAAGGGTTGTGAAGGTCAGGGAAAGTCATGGAATTTAAAACAAAAACTTGAGTAGGAACCATGTATATATTGTATCTTGCTTTCTTGAAAGAGAGTACATATTATAAAATACTGTTTCACAATTATTTATGGTACATACTACATCAAGAAATGACATGCAAGGAAAACAAGAACAATTTTCACTGTACTGATTAGCTTCTCATGAATTTCCCCTGCTTATATTGAGAAATTATAATGTTATTGAGCTATAATGTAACAGATTCAGACAAAGCAAAAGTTTAACACAATACTTTAATTTATTTTAATTGGTTTTAATATACATAATTTCACTAATGAATTTAGTTTAGAAAAATATGAATTGAGGAGCTGATTAATTTATTCTGTATCTGTTTGCTTGTGACATTATTTCTAACATTATCTGCTCTCTCTTTAAATATCCCATTTCTTGGTCTTGTTTATATGTTATCTCCTCTGCCACACTTTCTTCTACTTATGTTATTTGCACTCCAATTTCTACTCTCTCTTCATCATTACTCCATACTGATTCATCATTCTGTAGAACACAAATGTTATGTAAAGTACAGTACAACATGCAGCTATAAGTTCTACCATTAAGTCCATGTGAGACATATCTAAAAACTTCAGCCTTCTAAACCGACCAACTAGATGAGCAAATGCTCTCTCAATAGTCTGTCGACATGATGAAAACTTATTATTAAACATAATTTTAGAAGATGATAAAAAACCATTGTCTCTGTAGGGGACTATTAAATGCTTTGAAAGTTGGTATGCACCATCTCCTATGATATGAAAATCTGCATGTGGAAAGCCATCACCACTGCAAACTCTGTGATACACTTCAGATCTCTTAAATATTGTGCAGTCGTGAACAGAGCCAACTTCACCAATGTAACAATCAATAAAGCACATTTTCTCATCACATACTCCCTGTAGAACCAAGGAGTGAAATCCCTTTCTATTTATATATGCTTGGGGTTCCTCTAAAGGGGCCTTGATTGCTATATGCTTCCCATCTAGACAGCCAATAACTCCAGTAATACCATATTTCATAGCAAACGTCTGAGCAGTTTTCCTTGCCTTCTGAGCTGAAGGCCAATTTATAATATGGCTTTGTGTATTCAGAACATTTATAGCTCTAACAATTCTCATCAGGCATCTCCACGCAGTCCTCCGACAAACTCCAAATCTGTCTCCAACTCCTCTGTAATATGTGTGAAAACAGAATAGTACACTTAGTACAGAATTATCTCAATCAGTAAAATTATCGTTTTGCTTACCTGAAAGATTCTTGGTTGGCAAGCAGCCACAGTGACATTAAAAGTTGCTGGTCAACTGACAGTGCATTTCTTCCTTTTCCTATTACTATTTCTTTTGATTGTAATAAAATGGGAACAAGATCCTTCAGTAAATTTTCGAAAGTACGTCGACTTACTCGAAAGTGTTCTTTAAAAACATTTGGCCTATATTCTAATGCAACCTCTAAAACATAGTTAGTTATTTTGCATACTGATTTCTTTTTCTTCTTACTTTTATATTGTGTTAAATAATTAACCAAAATTAATTCTTCTTCCTCGGATTCTAAATCTAATTCCGATAATATTTCTAAAATGATTCCTAAACTTGCCGCCATCTTCGATCCTACTCGCATACTTTCCGCCATGACAGAAGCTATTTGTACCACGTGACAAGGACTGATCCGATTTTACAGATCGATCTATACAAAACGAAAAGTATATGCACCCTAGGACTTCGGGTGGCTGCTACACGTATAACGCATCCAATTCTATCCAGGATCCGGTTCCGGGTTGTTAGCCGCCCGCCTGCTAGATATTTGGCCGCCCTCGCCCGAGTACGTGAATCGCGAGTAGATTTATAACTTAACCCAACCGATAAGAATTTACCTGTATGTTTTTATGATAGTTTTCTGTATAGTTGACAGGAGTTTTAAAAAATCAGTTAAAATATTTGATATATTTATTCCGCTTTCTGATTTTATATTACTCACGGTTTTCAATGTTAAACCAGTGATATTACGATTTCGTATGTCCCATCTTTAAGGGGATGTACAAAAAAAAAAACGTGTAAAATTCTTGTATAATGTTAAGGGACTTGATCTTCAACTGTAGAGCAGTGTTTTTCAACCTGTGGGTCGCGACTCCCAGTGTCGCAAAGCCATACACGGGGAGTCGCGGGTAAAAGAAAAAGACAAGTGTTTGTAGGTCCTACACTACAATAAAAAAACTACATTTTGGTGAGAAGGCTGTGCCTGTTTATTTTACAGTACAATTGGTTTTTGATCGATATTTAAATCTCAACAGAAAGAAAATTAAATACGTAGTTTTTAAAATCATTGACGTAGTTTTAATATGGCCATGGGGGTTCGCCAGAATTTTTTAACTTGTAAAGGGGTCGCGTATTCAAGAAGGTTGAAAAACACTGCTGTAGAGGATAAATTTCTCGGGCAATCTGTAATTTTTGTTGAATATGACTATTTGTTTTTGACGTTTTACTTCAGTGGAGATAAATTATCTTGAAATGTATCCATATTTATATTTGTAAATTTAAATATATATATATACACTCAGTATACCACTTTCCTACTATAGACAATAAATGGTTCCGAGCAAAAATGATACTTTAGAGGGGTGGTCTTTTAAAGGGATTTTGCTGTATGTATTTATTTGTTTCCTTTTGTGTAACCATGGAGATATAAAGTATTTTTGTGGGCATTCGAAAACGTAATGTTCGATGGATTCAAAATAAATCAAACATTACGTTCTCGTCTTCTGGAATTTTGTTATGTTGTTCAATCTGTAATTTCGATGAATCTGTATGCGAAAAAAGAAACAAAGGTTTATTTTTAATATGATTTGAATAAAAACTGTTTTGCCAATTTGGGAAAGTACATTTCGTAACTGACCTGAATTTAATTTACGTTTCAGAATCTCCACTCAAAATGCACATCGTAATAGTGAAGAAGAGTGTTATAAAGATCAATTAAGATGTTTACTTACATAAAATACTGATTAATAATTTTAAAGCAATTATTAATTTGATAAAGAAGAAAACAACGAATGGGCTGAAGGATCCTAGAATGGTCAGATGCTTATTCATTGTATACTTATTAATTCGTTTTAAAAGATCTTCTAACATTTTATTTTGTACTCAATTTGCAATTAGTATTTTACGTTCTTGTAAACGAAATGTTATTCTCGAGTTATGTGTAATGCCATCTGTTATGAAATTTTATTTTAAAAATAATTTCTATATCATTAATTTTTATAAAAAAAAGGCAAAAGGCTTATTTGAGCTAATGGTGAGATTTTTAGGAAATTGTAAATGCCAATAACTAGTAAAAATTTTCAATAAATTTGACCCCTCTCGAGATATACTCGAGAGTGGTCGTGTGTCGTTATGATCCCGTTTCTATCTCCCTTTTCCCTTAACTTTTAACCACCAAAATTTAATAGCATCAATTCCCCATATATAGAAACATCCCTGCCAAATTTTAAAACTTTTGGCTTATCTAGTCCTAAATTTCACTAAGCTACGTAGAGGAAGATTAAACATATTCATTCTGCAATTACCTTAGAGACCATAAAAGAAAAGAATATATAAGGTCCAAACCATGATTGAACGTGCATTCATATTAAAGTTTTGCTGATTAAATAACTTTTTTCAATTTTCTTTACCTACTTTTTCATATACAAGATGATTCGCTGGGAACTGATCACTTACTTTGTTCAATACATCATGATTGCACAGTAAAATTTCAATAACATAAAATTTCAATAACATATCTGCTTGTCGTGAAACAAAGAATCGTTCCCATTCATCCTTTATGTTTATTTTCTTTCATTTTATGTGGAGATATTCCATATAACAAGTGTTCAGTCTCTAGTGAGTCATTCTGTAGAATTTCGAATACAACATAAATTTTTAAAAATACAGTGTATGAAATGTTTTTATAAAACAGTTAACAATTTTTAACCAATTGAATAACTTTATAAATTGTAATTCATATATTAGTTGCAAGCAAATTTTAAGATGTAAAAAATTTATTACCTAGAAGAATATATTATTGATAATGAAACATTTTATGTTTTTCAGAATACTATGAATATTTTAAAACTTGGACTACCCGTATTGTTGCTGCTTATATTTTTATATGTTTTGCTGACATATTTTTTTCCTTCACGTACTAATACTTTTTATAATGAAGGTTTGTGTAAGAATTATTATTGCCTTACTGTCCTTTAGTTTCTTAATATATATATATATATATACTNTTTTTTGTCAACTTGGACATTAATTATTAATGTCCAAGTTGACAAAAAATATATGTTTGTGTAAGAAATTCATAACATTACGTCCATAGCCGATTTTGTATTTTCATTAATTGTCTATCTTACAACGATTTCCTCTGTTCTTATCATGTTCAAAATTCAGTAAACATGAGTGTATGAAGAATTTGTGTATACATAGTGTGCCAAAAAATGTATACACATTTTAAGAATGGAAAAACTTTTAAAATTTTCGCTGGATGATAATATTGTTAATATAAAAAAGACAGTCATTTTCCAAAAATATTTTGGAGCGATCACCATTTATTTCTTTAAAATGTTCTATAACAAACTTGAGGCGGCCAGACCTTTCCTTTTAGGCTACATGGTCGCCTTTATAGTTACTTAAAACACAGAAATAATCCAATAAAAATATGTACAATTTGTAAAAATGTAGAAAAATTGGAATTGGTGACCTTACGACATCTTAGGCTTGCATCCTTCTCCATATTTTTATTGGATTATTTCTGTGTTTTAAGTAACTATAAAGGCGACCATATAGCCTAAAAGGAAAGGTCTGGCCGCCTCAAGTTTGTTATAGAACATTTTAAAGAAATAAATGGTGATCGCTCCAAAATATTTTTGGAAAATGACTGTCTTTTTTATATTAAATGGAAAAACTGTTTTAAAATCGTAATACTCATTATATACTAATAGCAAAAGATAAATACAAGTCAAGGTAGACTTCAACAAACATAAGAGGTGCTCAAATTGGTTATCGTCAGCGTCCGGACACTTCTGATTCGGTGAACTACTGTTTGAGCAATGTTGGCCAAAGCGTCTATTTGTCTCGCTACACATGCTGTTTCCATTTCTTCTCTAAGTATTGCCAGTGTAGTCGGTTTTCTATGGTACATTACATCCTTTAAGGTCTCCAATAAGTAGAAGTCAAGGGGTGTTAAGTCAGGAAAACCTGGAGAAAATTCAATCGCACCTCTTTGTCTTATACTCGTAACAAATTTTCATCTAGATAAGCTCTCATGTCTCTTTGGAAGTACACTGGGATGCATACTATACGTTACTACCATAATTCAATTTAACTTAGAAAAGTGAAACATAGGTAACGTCTCTTAAAATGGATGTACGTTTTCTGGCACTCCCATGTTATTATTCACATATTACAGCAATATAGAATCTGTGGACATAAAAAGTTTTGCAAAGATTTCTACACATTTTTGACAATTACATTTTACACAATTAACTTTTCTATGTTGATTCAAGAAAATTTTTATTTCAGATCAAATATTTGAAGCTCGAAGTATTTTTTTTCTCGAAACTTCAGGAGCATCACATTTAAATATACGTCAAGCCTGCGCAGTAGAATCAACTTCGAGACATTATCCTTTGTTTTCTATTACGGTTTTAATGACGACTCAAACATTAATTACAAATACTTTTAATGTGTCCAATGTGCAATTTAAAAAGATCACATTTGAGGAACTTTTAGCAGAAACTCCACTGAGTGAATGGTATCGTCAGAAAAATTGGGAAAAGAGTGAATACAAAATAAATCATTTAAGTGATGCAGCTAGGTATGCTCTGATCTGGAAATTCGGGGGAATGTATTTTGATCTCGACATCGTGATGTTAAAACCTTTATCTTTATTAACAAACTTTATAGTGAAGGAAAATGAAAATACTTTAGCAAATGGTATTTTAGGAATGACACGTCACCATACTCTATTATACAACTGCATGAAAACATTTGCAAAGATATATAATCCCAATTGTTTTAATTGTGTTGGCCCTCATCTTATCACTAACGAGCTTGTGAAGTTTTGCAATGGGCACAGCATATCTGACGTCGAAAGAAAAGGTGACTGTGATATTACTTTAATGAATTCGACTACAGCTTTTCCTCTTCCTTATTTTCAATGGAAAGATTATTTTCTAAACTCTTCAACTCTTGATACTCTTCGTAAAATGAAGAATTCTTATATGATTCATGTATGGAATCAATTATCATCCAAAAATATTTTATATACAGGTTCAGGAAGTGCATATGAAATAACGATGACAAAAAATTGCCCTTTTGTTTACTCAGAAGCAGTTAAAATTGGAAAAATATAATGATTTAATTAACTGAATTATTCTCTTTATCCTCTATTTCCTCAATTTTATTGTATATTTTTTCTTAAATTTTTAATATATTTTAATTAATTTTTCGATAGAACGATTTTCGGTAACAAAAGCGTATAAAAATTGTTATTGTTGTATGGTTTTATATAGCAATATAAAGGAAATCAATGCAAGAAATATATTCTTTACTTAAATTAATTCGTTAATAATTTATCTCTAACATAACCAGTAGCCTATAATGAATGGAAGATATTTTTTTTAATGTGGTATATTTCTGTATTTATTAACTAGCAGACCCCGCCACGCGTTGTTGTGGCTCAAAATGTATCTATTATAAATGTATAACACTTCCCCCGTGGGGGGGGGGAATTTTTCGAAAAATTTCTTCTGAGTGTACATTCTGTTGACATACCCTATCAAAAACGCAATCAAAGACGCAAAAAAAACCGCATCTAAAATAGTATAAATAGAAGCAGAGTTCTGTACGGTAAGCCTTAATCCTAACCATCTCCCTTCAGTGTGAGGAATTTCGACACATATATTATATAAAAAGACGTGCGTATTCAAATGCAGCGTTGTGTGAAAATTTCAAAGGAATCGGTAGGAACAGACGAACATTACATTTTTATTTATATAGATAGATAGAAGATGATCTGCTTTAGTTCATTTTCATAGAAAAGCATAATGCCTCACAGAAAAGCAAACTTAGGGCGTCGTACTCTTAGTGCCATCCGTTGGACAAAAAAGCCTTAACCATAGATGATATCATTAAATTTATATGAATGTTTAACGGGATAATATACAACCTATGTCCACCCTGAGGTTCCCTTCTAAATATTGGTGAAAGAATTTTTGAAATCGGATGAGTAGTTTCGGAGATTACCTGCTGCAAAGAAACTTACATACATCTATACTATTATAAAGAGGTAATGTTTGTATGTATGTATGTAAGTTTCTTTGCAGCAGATAATCTCCGAAACTACTCATCCGATTTCAAAAATTCTTTCACCAATATTTAGAAGGGAACCTCAGGGTGGATATAGGCTGTATATTATTCCGTTACACAGCCTTTGAGTTTCTGTGGTCACTTCGCATTACATTAAAAATCTATACTAATATTATAAAGAGGTAATATTTGTATGTATGTATGTATGTATGTAAGTTTCTTTGCAGCAGATAATCTCCGAAACTACTCATCCGATTTCAAAAATTCTTTCACCAATATTTAGAATGGAAC